TACCAAAGTTTCACCATTTCTGTAATTTGATCTAACAAATTTTGTTGGAGTATTTGGTTTACATTTTTATTCACTCTACAAACTCTTTGGAAATCGAATGTATGAATTATTAGTTAATAAAATACGTGTTTTGTCTTAAATTTCATGGCAACAGCGAATGAGATCTCAAGGTTAGTTATAAGTTTTTCCTTTCATTCCCTGATTTTGCATTCTACCAGACTCCCTAAAATTTTTCATTACCTTTATGCTAAATTTTTCATTGCTTTATTCTAAATTTTCAAACTTCGTAAAAATCTTATGTAACTATACTTTCAAACATCTTTTCACCATAGATTTTATTTGTAGTTTTGTGTGTTTGTTGTCATATGTTATTTTAAATTAGAGTTTTTTTCCATGAATTTTTTATAGAATTAATATTGTGTGTTTTATTCTGTGAATTCGCTTTAGTTGAGAAGGTATTTATGTTAACTATACTTTTCTCCTTTGTTTTTCTTTTCATTTTATTCTTTCATTTTTCTTTATTTTCTTTGATGGTTGACATATTATTTCTTGAATGGAAGTTAGTATCCGGGCTGCAAAGATAGTCATATGGATGATGAAAACTACAATAACACATAATGACAAGAGGTTGTAATGCTTTATCAACTACCCTTTAACATATTGTACTTCTCTTTGTTTTGTACAATAGTCACTTTCCTCCCAATTTTTAATTTTCATTTGCTTCCAATGCAATTTTACAATCTTTTTAATGCAAAAAAAAATTAAAAGGGTAAGTGAATAAAGGTGTAAACTATTACTGTAATGAAATCATTTCACATGATATTTTCCTTCTCTAATTTGTATGCTTATTTTCAGTTACTCATTTGAAAATTTTCCTTTTCTTTTCTTTATCATCATCAGTTACTCATTTTAATCTCTTCACGATGACAGTTCTTGCGCAAGCCAATAAGAATGCAAACTTGCGCTCTGTCCAATCACAACATGTAATTGAGATATTTTTTATTTTTTTATTTTTCTGACTAATAAAGTGTTTTTTAATTACTTTTTATTTTGTGTATTATTTTAACAATGAATTTAAATTTGCTCAACATTTTAACAATCAAAATTTAATATACATCTATTTTTTGAATTCATTTTTTCTTTTAAAATTATAAAAATTCATTTTTAAACTTACCAACTTAATAGATTTAAAAGTTTAAACATTTAACCATATTTTATTAAAAATTCATATTTAAAATATGCCTAATTTTGATTTTGTATTTTTAAATTGATTGTAAAAATTTTAAAAATGCATTTTAAAACTTATTTATTTAATAGATAGATTTAAAAATTTTAATATCTATAACTAAATTTAAAACGAATACAAAGTCTTTGGTTTCCACTTATGTCTATTCAATTTTACCCCTTAAAATTCAAGTTTACTCAACTTTTTAAAAATTCAAATTTAAGATGACTTCATTTTTGAATTTCAATTTATTTTTTAAAATTTATTTAAAATTAAAAAATACAAATTTATAATATATCTGTTTTTTTTATTTTTAACTTTATTTTCTTTTCAATAGTTTTATAATTAAATAAATTATTTTTAGTCCTTTATTCTTTATTCTATACAATTTTTCGTTCTTTCTTGACATAAGTTGAACTCAACACACGCAATGTCAAGTTATATGGTATAACTAAATTTTTATTATTATTTTTAATTCATATATATGTGATGAATATTATATGGTAGAATTTAAAGTACAAATGTCAAGTTTTTGCTGTATTTTTTGTTTTTTTCCTTCATTTTTGGCTTAAAAAACATACTCATATCAACCAAAAGCATGATACAAAGGAAGTAGCATGATAAGCGAATTTCAGTTCATAAAATCTGTTATAAATAAGTATAGATATAACTTAAGATTAAGATTACAAGATATAAAAAGATATTGGTCTCCATTTATCCAATTTTAACCTTTATTGCTGGTAACTCTCTTTTAATTTAAAACAATAACTATTTTCTCTTGAAATAATAACTATTTTCTTTTAAAATAATAACCATTCAACATATGCTTTTATCTATTTTTATCTTTTTCATCTTAAAAATTCTTTCTCCCTCTTTTGTACATTTTTTTCTTCCATTTTCACCCTCTACGGTTTTTTCATACCAATCGATTCTCAATTTTCCCTTTATTTCAAACTCAATCACACCATATCTTGGTATGAATCACATTTCGAAGCAAGTTGTAATATATTTTAACTAATCTTATTTAATGTTCCAATATTTTTTTAATAAATTTCTTTGTTTCTTTTTCTATTGAAATTTTAGGATATATTACAACATGGTGAAGAACAACAATAATTTCATTGTCATAACTACATCATTGACAAGTATTTTTTTTTTTATATCTAAATCATCTTCAATTAGATATGTTAGAAATTAGAATTTGTGAAATTGTAGGTATGTACGTCGAAACGAAATTTGGATTTGTAGAGTAAATGACACTAATTTAGTTTCGATTTTGGTTTTTGGGTTGTTTTTAATGCTTTGCTTGCGTTTGGAACATCAAAATTTTGCGATAAGGTTGAGATCCAACATTCTGTACTCCCCTCTGCTTCTACTAAAGTAATTCCTCCATTCTTTTCTTTGATTTTTCTACCATTGATATTATTTTTTTTTTCACATATAAGAAGGATTTTAAATCAAAGTCACCATCGAGAATATCTTCATGTTTCACGTTTGATTTCAAAAGTTTCCTTCAATTTAATTTAAAAAATAAAATATGTGGCATTAAATAATATTATTTTTTTAAAAATTAAATTAATTATATACATTTACATCTATATCTATACTAATATATAAAAAAGATACATCTTTTAGTAACCACCTTGGTCACCACATTTTGTTGACCATTATATCCTTTCATTTTTAAAAATTAAAAAAAAATAATATTTTTCTCAAAATCAAGACCTTAAATTTAATTGAATAATTATGACATTAGATTAATGTATATTTATTACTTAATTTTTATTTTATTTTATCTTTAATAGAGACACAAAGTACCTCGACCATACTAGTAGATTCATAATAGAAAAAAGATTTAGAATGATAAAATGTTTATGATCCAGCCGTATGCCGAGTGTAAGGCCAGATTCGGGCCAAGCTAGTTAGCAGGCCCAAAACCTCCACCCTCATCCTTGATCCGGCCCAAGGCCTGCACATTGAATTGTGATTTTACAATATTTCTGGCAACGAATCTACCATTACACTTTATTTAATGGGTTTATTTAGGAAGTGTACTTGCGGAGAAATGTTTAGAAAATAATCTTCAAATGAAAGTTCTAAGTCTTCGATATCCAGTCCTTGGTCTTTTGAACTGTTAGTGATGATTGTATCTATATTAAGAAGCATGATTCTCTTGTCTACAAGACATCTAAAAGAGTGCCACAATTGGGTTTTTCTTCGATAGACTTATTTCTTTTCCTTCCATTTTTAATACATACAATTATCCTTTCAACATCAGAAGTTTACTAATTTTTTAATAAAAAACATTGTGTCAAAACATTATATCAATAGTAAATATTAATATTTATATATATATATATATATATATATATATATATATA